GGTATTAAACAATTCACAATTCAAGTATAATGGTTCCTATGCCACCAAATGGCATTCTTCAAACTGGCATCCCCTTTATATAAGTTATATAACAGCCGTTGGCATTTAGCCTATTATGAAGTTAAAACCGCCAATAGGTGGCGCCAAATCACCGTTTTAATGTACGAGTCATAGAAGCAGTCAACTGATTTGTTCAAAATGACAGATTCGTTCTGGAACTAAGCAACTAGGTCACTGAATCACAAATACGCATAACTCTTTCTGTGGCTTGTTTGGAACTATTGTCATTGGAGAAATAGAGCAAAAACAGAGAATATTTGGAATATTATGTCTAAAATGTCACATCACAATATTCACTCTTTGTTTACTGAACTGTTTTATAAAATCATCACACTTGCAATCGCGCCAATAATCTGGAAATATTTTTTTATATATGTTATAATTATGAAAATAACTCATACTAGGGCCATTTTTCCACCACATTTTGAATTTTGGGTGCATATTAATTCTGCTGGCATTTTTGCCACCAACCCCCTGATAACATTAAGAGAAACATAAACGACAAAACTAACAGTTTTCTATATTGTTTTTCGTCATTGGAAAGAACAACATTTTTGGCTTTAAAGCATGATTTAAAAAGAAATGTGGCAAATGTTATACAAAACATATACCAATACCATCATTAATTATCATTTGAATATTGACAACATTAAGCTACATTTGAAAACATAATTGTGTATAAAGAAGCATGCTGTTTTGACCAATATTATTCTCTCTAGATTTAAAGATAGTCAAATTAACTCTAACAGACAGGTTAAACAAGCCATAGCTTACTTTTAGACGTGGTGAATGAAGTTCGACTGTTCGAGGTTGTGATGGTCTTCCGATATCCCTTGCCAGTTATTATGCGTACAACAAATCTTCTTGCATGAATATTGTCATTTTCTAGTGTTTATATCCAAAAAGATACGATGCAGGGAGATGTTTTTGTATTTAGCGCGCTCACCGCGATGTAGGCTATTTCTGGGCTTGTGCAGCGTCACGCAATCGCGCAGAATCTGATGACTGACGTCAATGGTTCCGTTGCTTTCATTTTGTTTATCAATGGATGTTGCGATGATTTATATAAAAATGTGTATCAAGTCATTCTCGAGTCATACAGTTCAAGTCAAGTCAAGTCTCAAGTCATTGGATCTCAAGTCAAAGTCAAGTCGAGTCATTTTCTTAATTTAGTCAAGCAAGTCTCAAGTCCTTAAATTTGCGACTCGAGTCTGACTCGAGTCAAGTCATGTGACTCGAGTCCCCCATCTCTGAACAAAACCCACGAGGGGGCAAAACATAGACAAGACTGGGAAGCTAAACTTTGACTAAGACTAGACAGATAGAAAACAAACAGCTACACAAACTTACGAATCGATTCACAGGATACAGACAATGTACTCACAGAGAGTATGGCTGCGTTTACACTTGGCATTAACATGCGACCTGTATCTGGATGTTGTCCACATACACATTGAAAAGACAAGTGTAAACGCACATCTGATCGGAATGTTATCCGATCAGCGTGTCCCGGTTCGGAGGTAGTCGAGGACGCATTGTGATCGGATCTCAGTGTAATGTAAACGCAATCCAGCCAACGTGTCTGCATTCACAGGTGAACGTAATTTAAATCCCCGCCCAGTCTCCCGCGTGACTGTCAGAAAGTAACGGCCAGATGCAGTTTAGACACAAAATTAAACTTATCTGAACAATAAACGTCAATCTTTAAAACAGTTTATTTATGTGTGTCATGTTTTATTTTAATTGTGCAACATTATCTGAACGAGGCGATCGCCTGTACACTCACAGTCAGTCATGAGATCTTAATGAAGAGCTGCACTTGCCAGAGGAATAATCGGAATCTAAATGTTTTAAATGTTGAATGTTTTTATTGTTTCAGCATGTTTATCAATCTCCCATTTCTGTCAATATAGTCATTGCACGCAACCTTAAACCCAGATGATCGATGATGTGACTTGTTTAACATGATCAACCCAGTTATTTTTGTAAGATCAACTCTGGAAGTATTCCTTCTTTCAAAAAATATAATTTGATCTAATTAATGGAGATTGCATATGAAAGTAAAGTGAGTGAGTGAAAGCAATTGGGATATTGTTTAATTTGTATCATCTTTACTATTAATCTGGTGTCGTGCCACAGACCTGATTTAAATATTATGCGGGAAACAGAAATCCGATCGGTTATCCAGATACAGAGGCTGCTTAATGTGAACAAATATAAACGCACCATGTCCTGATTGGCTAATGATCCGATCTGCTTGATCGGATCACGGTGATCGCATGTTAATGCCAAGTGTAAACGCAGCCTAACACGCAGTTTTGACACAATGAACCGACACAGGACAGCAAACACAAGGGGATTAAATAGCAAGAAACTAACGAGGGGAACAGGTGACGCTAACAAGGCAATAATGACTAAACAAGGATAACAAGGGGGCGGGGTTACGAGACAAGACAACACAAGCACATGGCCCAAACAACAGGCCATGCAGCTTGTACATAAAGCATGGGTCTGTCATGATTCTGCCACAAGACCAGAGAAATCAAAGACATGATGGCAGAATCATGACATTTCGTCCCCTTGGAATTATAAGGTTCTATCTGACATTTTTGTCAAATTGAGTTATTCACATATTCTTATTCTGTGACAACTTATTTACATTATGTGATGTGTTTTTTTAAATTGTGTACATTGTGGGACTTTTTATTGAAAAAACAAAAAGGTTCTATCTACAAAATCGAACTCTACCTTGGCTCTATAAGGTTCTATCTGCGTGAGCCAATCAGCACTTGGAATGCACAGAAGAGGACCAATCAGAATCAACTTTATATATCATGTCGCCAACTTTTCCTTGAAGACAAAAAGAAACCCCATAAAGGCATAATGCTATACATTTACAGTAAATTAAATATTCACTAAATTGTGTAGTGTTATGAAGTGGCTTCAATTTGGCCATTTTCTTTATAGTGTATTGGTTATTATTATTAATTATCAATGAGGTTATTATTAATAACTATTATTATTATAGTTATTATTATCTGAATTATACAAATATGCAGTGAGTAAATTGAATATTTAAAAAAAACATTTAACATGCAAGTGTGTGTGTGTGCGCGAGTGTGTGAAAATGTGTGTGTGTGCGAGTGTGTGAAAGTGTGTTTGTTTTTGTGATATATGAGGACACAAATGTGTATAATGACATGCATATTACACTGGTATTACAACTTACACGTGATATATGAGGACATTGCATGAGTCCTCATATTTCAAATAGCTTAAAAAACATAAAAAACAATGTTTTTTTTTAAATGTAAAAATGCAGCATGTCTCCTGTGATGGGCAGTGTAGGGGGATAGAATATACAGTTTGTCCAGTATAAAAATCATTACGCCTATGGAATGTCCTCATATATCACAAAAACAAAGCTGTGTGTGTGTGCGTGTGTGTGTGCGTGTGCGTGTGCGTGTGTGTGTGTGTGTGTGTGTGTGTGTGTGTGTGTGTGTGTGTGTGTGTGTGATTAAAAAATTAGTCTGACATTTTTTGTGATCATATAGTCAGTGAATCATTTTTCAATGATTATTAAACTTTATGAATTAATTTGCTGAAGCATGTCGATTTTCTTGTAGTTTTTAAAGTCTTAAAATGTCTTAATTTTTACAATTTTAAGCCTTAAAGGTCAAATAGTTAACAATTTCATTGATGGGGTCTTAATTACAACAATAAACGTTAGCATGTTATTTCAGCCATACTGATGTCTAGAGAGAAAGCCATTTCACCTGGCCCACTTTAGCTGGAATAAAGTCCTGCTCAGATGTATTACAGTAGCTGCTTTCTGTCTAAACCAAAGAAAGATTAAAGTAACAATTTCTGCAATAATGTGTTTAATTACCCACCAAATTGGTAACGGAAATTAAGATTCTGCACTGGACAAAATATTTAGACATACCTTGCTTAATTTGAAATGTCCTAAATACACGGAAGTGCTAAAAAATATGAAATTAATGTCATAGAAAGGATAAAATATTACTTTTAAATTCATTTTAAATTTAATGTTCAAATAATGTTTTGGCAGATAGAACCTTATAATTCTAAGCGAAAAGTGTTTTTTTAGAATTAGAAGGTTCTATCTGCGTTTGACCCATTCCAAAAAAAAACATTTACAAATTTGAGAGGATTTTGATATTTTATATTTAGAATACATTTAGGGTCCCTGTTATTTTCATGTTTGAAAGAAACTTGTTCCCCATATAAATTTTCCTATATGTAATGCAAAAACTTTGAAGCTCAATATCTCAAAACTGCTCAGAACGCAGATAGAACCTTATAATTCCAAGGGGACGATTTATTACATTTCTGTCGCTGAAAACTACTGTTAGACCTTCCTGAAAAACCTGAAAAGCACTATTTATTTCCTTTGCATCTTTGTTATATTGTATTTATTTGTGCTGGTGCTTGTAATATGATTATTTGTCTTATTTTATTACTGACTGTCTTTAATCATGTTTTACATTTATATTAGTTGGGCTAGTTTTAGCCGTGGTATCGATATTGAGAATAGAGAATTGTGAAATTTCACTGGTATCTAAAATTTTGGTGTCATTACTGCCTGTTTTTGTAATGGCAGGTAAAAAAAATATTTATGGCTGGTAAATTTTAAGTCACCGGCCATTTTCAAGTGTGGCAAAAAGTTAGTTTTAGGCCCTGCATAAGCACATATCAAAATTTAAAAAACTGAAAAAAATAAAAAATAAAAACTAATTCAATAGTATATAAATAATACTAAAATGACACTGCTTTAGAGAAATCGCTAAATGTTCATTCATTAATTTATGCATGCATTAATTTGACCTTTCTAATGATTATCAGTGTATTTCTACATTGTCATTTCTGTGGCGTTGATCCAGAGCTTCCATCATTGACTGATTCTTCTGGTCTTTCAGGACACCCGAGTCCCGTCTTCACGTCCCCACCTCTCCTCCCTCTGTTCACACTCTCCGTCTGTACTTTATGCTGCTGGACACAGATGGTGATGGTGTTCTCAGCGAGCGAGAAGCTCGTCCGTTACGGCTCCTGCTTCGCAGAAGTCTGCGTCCTCGCCGCTGTGCCAAGAAACTCATGCAATCCTGTGATCGTAACGCAGACCGTCGCCTCAGCTCTCAAGAACTTACTTCCTGTCTTGGCATTTGAGGCCCAAATCCATAAATATTGTGCAGGATGAAGTATCTTTGGAAGTGGTTTCAGACATCAGTTTGACCTTCATCTCTCCACAGCTCCTTTGAGTCTGTGACTGCAGCGTTCAATCACTTCACTCTGGGTTTTTGAATCTGTTTCAGCTCTCGCCGGCACTCTGACCTTTTCACTTATGCAAGTCCAAACGCTGTGCCTTTCAAATAAAGGACTCGTTATTGGTTTTGTAAAAATATCCACGGGTGAGCCTTTCTGACCGCTGGAGCTCTCAAGTGTGTGTGAGTGTATCAGAGTGGCTGAGAGTGAGTTTGGACACTGTACAGTACATGAACATTGTAATAATTCTGTATTATGACCAGGGTTATTGTAGTTAACTGAAACTAAAACCATACAAAAATGCTTGAAATAAAATAAATGTTAACTGAAATAAAATAAAATATAGAAAAACTTTAACTTATTTTATTTCAGCACTTTGCCAATGCAACATTTCTCATTTTTGTTTGTTAACTTTTAAAATCACAATGTGGAAACAATGTGCTGTACAGAAAGAATAAATAAAATAATTAAAACAGAACCGATAAAACATATACCACACAACAAAATAACTAAAACTGAAATAAAAATTAATAAAAACTATATTGGCCTTTTTTCTGTTAAAACTTATAAAAATGACAAAAACACAACAAAATTACTAAAATTAAAATGAGAAATGAAAATATAAAAATAAAAACGATAATAGTATAAATGATAATAAAATGTAAATAAATATTACTTCATTTGTTAAAAAAAAAAAATTAAACCTGGAAATAACCAGATTTTAGGACCTAATACTAAGTTTAAAAATAAATAAATTAATTCTGATAGTAATCTACATGTTTTTAATTCATTTTTCAACCAAAATAGAAGCGTTTCCACTGATCTCAGATTTTGAACCTCATTTTATGTCAAAGTACTCCCTTAGTAACAGATTTCGGTAACACTTTATTTTGCAGTGTCATTGTTACACGTTAGGCTACATGTAGTTACTATAGTAATAACTATAAATTATGCATAATTACATGCAACTAACCCTAAACCAAACTTAATTCTAACCCTAACCCTAATAAGTACATGTAGTTAATTAATATTACTCAGCTACCAACTTAAATCTATAATTACACTGTAACAACCACACCTTAAAAATAAAGTGTAACCCAGATCTTTAGTATTAAAGCAAAATAAAGCTGTTTCTCTTGAGTTTCGTGTTTCTTCAGTACTGACAGGCCTTGAGAAGGTCAAATCTACAGTAAGTCCTTGAATATGAGAGTGAGTGTGAATGGAAGATTAATAATAATGTGGCCCAAACACCCTTGACAGGTGTAAAGAAGGGTTTTAATCCACCTTTATTATACAGCAGTCAGATCACACCCCATTTACTCCAGTGTGTTTGTTTCACCTTAAAGGGATAGTTCACTTCAAAATGAAAATTCTGTCATCATATAGGCCTACTCAGTACTCACCCTCAAGTTGTTTCAAACCTGTATGAATTTCTTTCTTCTGCTGAACACAAAGGAAGATATTTTGAAGAATGTCAGTAACCAAACTTTTGAAGTATGCTATTTTCTGTAGGCTATAATTATTATGCGGTCACTTCTAAATCTGCTCGTCTGGAAAATAACAAAATGCAGTCAAATAATTTGTGCTACAAATCAGTGTGTTAATGATTACGAATTAAAATATTATGGTAACAAATATCAAGCAGCAATCGTTTTTATACAGGTAAAAAAAACGGAAGCGGATGAGACCGGAAGCTGCCCGCGCCCTCACACGTCGAGAAATACGTTGAATATAGTGCTCGTGGTGTTTGTTGTGTGTTTGCTTGACTTTATTTCTCTTGATCTTAACGTTTGACCTGCAGGCTTCTGCTTCTCTGTGGATAATATAACCACCAGCAACACCAGAGGACACCCCTAGGTGTCAGTGTAACTCCAATCCAGATCTGATGAGTCTGCGTCTTTGGCTGTTGTTTGTTGTCATCAATTTACTGCATATAACACAACTGCCATCATTCATTTTGAAGGTAGGTTTGTTTGAGACAAGTAATAGCGAGTAAGGGAGATATCGTTGAGCACACCTGTATATTTCACTTTGTTCTCACTTATAGCCAACACTTTCCACAGATCGTGATGATGTTTTTTTCCCCAATTAGCCTATTAACATCGTACATCTAGGTAGGCAGCAAAGGTTTTTATATTTTCTGTTTAAAATATATACATTTTATGACACAATATCCTAATTTGTTTTATGTTACCTTGGCTTTAAATGTCAAAACACTGCTGTGAGGGTGTTTCTAACTGCCGAGGGAGCCCTTGTCCACTTAATTGTATTGAGTGTGCTTCAAATCTTAAATGTATATTTTTAAAATACTGTATTTGCAGATAATTTAATATTAATGAAATAAAGGCCACTTCGGTGTGCTTAAATTAGTGCATTTTGTAATGTCACATTTACAATTTTACATTTTTAATCATTACGTTTTAATAATCTTTTGTCATGCTTTTAAAAGAAGTACACTTATTTTGATGTGTTGACTAACATACTAAAGCTCATGTAAAATAGGCTACTTGATTATTATTTTTACTGAGGTGTGTTATTTGATCAATTAATATACTTAAATTATTATCATTTAGGCCAATTTATTCATTCATTGTCATCATTATTATTATTGGAGCGATTAGAAACATAGGTTACCCATCTATGAAGACTTCCACTTTTTCCTGGAAATGGGAAAAGGGTCCATTTCAGATTTACTGGCCCATAAACATTACATCACTTGACAAGTAGGCAGCTGTTGTACAGAATATGTTACAATCTCTGGTTAGAGGAGAACGCTTACTCTCAGCTCACTATTAGGCAAGTTAGTGAGTATACATAAATAATCTGTATTTGTTTGGATCTAGAGAATCGTCTGCTCTGTTTCTCCATCTACACTGTAAAATCCATCTCTCTCCGTCTCTCTTATCACCCCATCATTATTAGATCTGTCCTGTAGGTGTGCACCGGGCAGAAATTGGACATTAATAAATCATAAATCTACTTCATTTCTGAAGATGGATTCAGTCTTTCCATTAGGATTAGGATAAAAAGCGGGTTGAAGGAGTAAATTAAATACAGTTTGTGATAAAGGGATTTTCAGTCGTTCTTGTTGGAAAAACCAGTTCACACCAGTGTTCAATTGGTTCTTGAAATTAGTAACAACCAATAACATGTTTCTGCTCCTTGGACCAACAGTTTGCAGTTTAGAGGAAGAACTTGTCACTGGTTTTGCCAGATCAGGGTAAACAGATCTTTGAAAAGTATAGTAACATGCAAAAAACTTTGCAAATGATGTTGAACCATGTTTTATGTGGAATGTGTTCAGTATATCCTCACTCTTTTTTTCTGACTTCTTTTGGAGGTCCATAGTTCGACCTAATAATGTCCTCATTTGCCCAAACTAATTTAAAGTCACTGGCTGTATCCAAAATCCAAAACTTCCATACTAAATACTAGGCGGAAAAATAGTATGTCCAAATTCACAATACTCATAAAAGATTTGGCAAAAAGTACCCATATGATTTACTACTTCCAGTGAGAATCTAAAATACACTTTACTATCCCATAAGGCCACGGGAAAGGATTTATGAATGGCAGTGAAGTGACGCAACTGACGTTGGAAGGTCACATGATAATGACAACATGGCGAATCATTAGGACGTCCGGATTACATTCATACTACACACATTAGTACTATAGAGAATCTGCATTGTTAGTGGTCACAAAGTAAGTAGTTATTCAAAATAAGTACCTACTCAAGAGAGTACGCGATTTCCAACGCAGCCACTATAATCAATCAGAGCAATAGCAAACCACAACGATCGAATCAATTCCACATGTACAAAATCAAGTTCCGTCCTACATTTTTTCTTGTTCGAGAAGATGTTTCACTCATGGACTGTAAAAAAGAAGATGGACGCCATGTCTCCTCTCCACGTCCTTCCACTATAGAAAAACGAAGCAAAAATATCCCAGATATGGTCACTGCCGATTACGTTATTCGGAGCCCAAGTGACATCAATGTCCCGCCATCCTCTTGTTCCCGCAGACTCGATCGCTAGCACAGCTGTCAATCATGATAACACCCCATTTTATAGCATGATAACTAACTAAAACCAAACTTACTTGAAAAACGAACACTTGACCATTCGTCTGTGTGATAAGAACTACCTAAAATGACAGAAACTTTGGAAAAAACTTATTTGAAGTGTAAATGGATTTTTGCCTTGCGTCCCGTTCGATTACATGGAGAGGGCGGGGTTTATGACCGGCAACCAGACAGCAGGGCGGCGATTCAAATGCTTTGGCTTCACCTGCGTCTCAATCAGCTCACTAGTTCAGTAGTCAGGGCACTGATCAGGGAGTCGGCCATTTTAAGGGCTGTCTCAATCGAAAAATCCTTGCAGTGCACTGAAATATTCGCTCCATAGAAAGTCCCACAATGCAACGCGAAAACCAGGGAGCATTGATGCTCACTATGTTAGCTCTGAAGCGTGAAATGAAACATAGCCTAAATTACGCGAGCCAACTCACCACACAAAATTACTTATGAATGATAGATGTTTTAAAAAAAAAAACATTATTTAATTGCGATGTGGCAAACATCTATAGTCACCCAAAACTGCTCCATAATTCAAACCTTTTCCTTGCTAAGGCAGTTTGAACAGCGTTTGACTTTCTAGTGGTCTTTTTCTTACACTGCGGTCTCTGTTAAAAGGGAGAAGGAAAATGAAGTGGTCACACAAAGACTTGTGATGGAGAAAAGAAGGGATTAGACGAGTGTCAAAGCACTTTTGCCGCTCAGTAATGGATGTGTTGACATGTCGTCATTGTCCTCAATTACGGCCTCTTTATGAAGCCTCACGCTGTGTTGTGAGAGGATTTTAGCATAGTCCTTTAAAATCCGAAGTCATTTATGAATGGAAAGAATGAAGTACTATTGACGAGAGAGACATAAAATCTCTGCAGCATTGTGAGGCCTTAACTCTAAAAACCCGCTCAAATATAGAAATGCGCCCACACACACACACACACTCACCTCATGTGAATGGTGTGTGTATTGTCTGGCTAAATCCATCATCTTTTGTCTCGTTCCCTTCATGCTTGACGCTCGAGAGGAGATGAAATTGGCTGTCAGTATTCCAGTGCTGGACTCGAAGC